GTGAGTGTTATTGTCTCTAAATGGTTTCACAAATAAAAACTAAAACAGCATTATTTTTTCCAGTATGTTCCACCATGACAATTACGTACATCCACAATTATTGTATTGATTCAAAGGTAAAAGACATTTGATTTCGTTCGCGTTGCGCGCTTCCTTAACAATTTCGAACTAATGAGAAAATGAGTCAAGAAGCTTCAAATTTAGCCTAACGAATATTTAAATAGATATATTGAATTTACAAGCAATACAAAAAATGTTTTGTGAAAAAGCAATATTGAATAGACTTCGTAATCAGCTTCAATTTACGGAGGGATGGGGCGGGAAAAAAAAGAATTTTTCATATTGTAATTCGGATTATTCCAAACTTAAAGTGCTGAAATACTTTATTGAAAGGCATGTGATAATATGATAGATTAGTTACATAAATCCTTTGTTCTGATTGTTTTGCTCGCTACTTACAAAACTTTTATTAATATGGAATACTTTTTTATTAAAGTTAGACATGAAAGATAAACGGAAAAATTGTCAAATGATTCACTTTCTTACTAACCATTTTAAAGTGATATTGTTGCTTAATAGAAACAGCCGTTACTTTGTGTAAATCTATTGTAATAAAAATAAAAAGGTTGTTTGGTCGGGTTTCTCTGAAGAAAATGGTGTTTACCTGTGCCTGTGATATATTTATTAATATTAATAAGTCATTAATGTTGTAAAATGACATATCTTTCGTAATATTTTTGCATTTAATGGGTGATAGGAGTCCGTTGCTGGCTAGGAATCGGTTCGGGTAGGTTGGTGGTACCTACCGAGACCGACCTACCTATTTTTATCGTCAAATAGCAGAGCACTGCTGTGTTTCAGTCTGAAAAGTGTAGAGAACCACTATAATAACAGGCTTATAGGCATTGCATCTTAGTCTTCAGAGTTGACAACGCATCAGATGAACCGTGAGTTCGTTTGCCACATCAGTATAATTAAAAATATGTTTTATGTGTACGTGTTTCTTATTCTTTAAATAAAAAATTTGTTTGTATATTTTGACTACTATGCATTCAATATCCGCATTAAAGTATTTTTATAATTTGATTGGTTTTTTATGTCATCATTTGGGATCTCTATATCGCTATATACAGCTACTTCTATATAATACCGCTTATTAAAATCGTGATAACTTGAGATACCGTGTAGTGGTGGTGTAAGAATATACACTACTGTATATAATTACGTGGGTGTCGTAAAAGGCGACAGAGGGAAACTAATCAGGGAGATAAACTGCAGCGTCTTCCTGATAACGACTAAAAATAAAAAAAATTGCGGTTGCCAACCAAATTGCCAAACATGGTCGCTATGGCAAATAACCTCCCTATGACGCAATGCAAAGAGTACTTATTTTATTTGCATTTGACGCACCTTTTTTGCCAAATCGCCTGGTTTTAATCATAAAACTATATTCCTGTTTCGTGTTACAGAAATTAGGGTGACAAACGAGCGCACAGTTCACCTGATGGTAAGTGGTTGCTGTGACCCACAGACATCTACATCTATCTTCGATTACGAACGAATTTAATAATTTAATTATGGTTGTCACCCATGCAGACTACGATGGAATGCCTCGTTTCCAGTAATAAAGGGTCTCCGGTTCTATACACTCAGCATACGAAACACAGCAGTATTAAGCTACTATTTTACGCTGGTATTCTGTGAGAGCGTGGTCCTTCCCCGGTCGAACCGACCCATTCATGCTATGACGCTACCACATATAAGTTATATCCAAGTATGAATAAAGTTTATCAGTTGCTTTTTCACTATATAGGATTTGTGCTAAAACGGACTAAAGAATATTTTTCTGTTTTTTTGAAAATTTGAATGAAATCATCTGTCATAGAAAATTTTACAATAAAATCGAATCAACAATGCGTCAATTGACGTGATTGAACTTAAATATGAAACATTTTTTTAAATAAGTATTCATGAGCCTCTATAAATTGATCGATCGATTTTATTGTAGGGTCTAAATTGTCACAAAAATCCATTCTATTGCCTAAAAAAATTAATAGATTATTATAGTATCAAATCGTTTGGCCGAGATCTACGACTTGCGTTTGATTTTCGCGTATTGAACCAGTGTGAGGTAAGTGATAAATGCATTTAGATGTTTATACATGTGATTATGGTTTACAGCATTTATAACATCGATATGAATTGTTTGTGTAGTATAGTTCTTGTGCATTTTCTTGTTTACCCCAATAATTGTTGCACATGTTTGTCATTCGGGATGGTTAAATTTAAGTAATTTATGAATCTTAGGATGAAGTCATACTCGTACATTTTGTTTTCAAGGGTCTCCGTATATGTATAAGAAAGAATAAAACAAAATGAAAAAGCGTTATTATTCATTGATATAAATATAAAAAAATAACACCGCTGTTTTTGGGTATAGTAATATTAATAATCGAGAAAACTTTCGAATTATTATATATAAATCTATGAAAATAATCAATTTAATATATAACGGCTGCGTCATCTACCTTACGCTTTAACTTACGTCTAAGCTCTTGGGTCCGATTCCAAGCTAAAGCCGACATCATTTGACGAAACACAACTCCTTAGTTTCCGAACGGTAGTTTTGGAATTGATCTCTATCAATACATCCCAGCCTTCATTGGTTGTTTGCACGTGAGCTAGTGGTGTTACATTTCTTGTACAGTTAGTAGCTATAAATTATTTGCAAGTTATCCCCGTAGTTGAAAATCGACCCGAATCCAGTACATTAAGTAAAAATAAAACAATGTTCCTTTTAGATATTTTATGGATCCGTGGTAGCTCAGATGGTTAACGCTCGCTGTAAATATAACAGAACGCCAGTAACCCGGGTTCGATCCCCGCCGGCACCCATGAAATTGTTAATTGCAATTTTAAGTGCTGATTTACCACGTGCTCTGCGGTGAAGGAAAACGTCGTGAGGAAACCTACATATCTGAGGTATAAGAAAAAAAATTTCGAAGACATGTGAAGTTCGCCAACACGCATTGGGGCAGCGCGGCGGACATTTCCTTGCCTTAAAACCCTCTCAGAAATGAGGGGAGGCCTGTGCCCAGCCGTGGGACGTATATAGGCTGTAACTTTACTTTTTTTAGGTATTTTTATTCTCCCTTAAGAAAATATTTATTTCTTCTTCTTTATGTGTTTTTTAACGAACGTAGTCAGCTTTTGAGAAGAGTACATTATTAGTAAAGAGTACTACAGTCAGTTATCTTTAGAAGAAATTTGATATATGATAACAAAGAAAAACATAACTTATATATATATATATATTTCTGTTATATAATTTTATTATAAATTATAATACATAGTCTTAAAACTTTTGTGAATTTGAGAAATTCATGAAATATATGTAAATTAATACACAAATAAATTTTACTTAAATCAAAACAAGAAATTTATTTCTTAGTAGTTTCCATTTCTTCTCGAATATTAGTCGTAAGGAATCTGACATAGAAGGAAAAAGGTTTCTTATATAAAAGTAAATAAATTAATAAAAAAATGCAATTTAACAGTAGTTATAAAATATCAACTTGTTTTTATAACAAGTAAAATATTCGGAGTATGTTTTCGCTTTCAGCTTCTTGTGTAGCATGAATTTTGCCCTTATATAAATGTCATCTTCCTAGTAAATGTGAAGTAGATAGTGATATATGAGTATAAATGAGTAAATGAGTGAGACGTAACACTCATTCCCGGAGTAAAATAAAACCAGGAATACAATCGATATCATAACTAAACATAAGAAAAAACAACCTTATTTGAAGACAAAGTTAAAAAGGTTGAAAGAAAAAGATAAATATATTATTAAACTAAACCAAAATTTGCAATGAAATAAAAAATATAAAACAGGAAATAAAACATGAAAAACAAAGTTAATAACTATAAGTAATGTTTATATTGTGTATTATGTAATTGTAAGTAGATTAACACAATTCCGATAGCATGAAAATTTAACACTAATATGCTCAACTTTATGGATTGTATTCCTTGACACCGGCTAAAGAACTTACTACGGTACCAGTCCTTTATCAAAGAAAAAAGCTCAATGATTTATTTTGGTCGATCAAAACCACGGTCTTATAAAGAGCTAAAAACCTTTATAACTTAAAAGTAGTGACTATATAACAAGTCCTTTTAATGATTATGTAATTTGTTTATTTAAGTGCAGATAAGAGAATAAATCCAAGTTAAATTACTCAGAAACGGAAATATGTCAAATGATGATTACTGTCAACACCTCAATTAACAAAACAATTTGGCAATATTAACCTTGATATCAACAATAAGCTTCAGTCATTTTTTATGTATTGGAAATAATATTATAAGGATAAATCTTAATCAATTATACATCAAAATATTTTCGTTAAACTTAAGTTGATTAATAAAATGGAAAATTAATATTTTACCATCCGAAGAAAACAAACTAAATCTTTGAAACATATAAAACTCATATACGTTAAAAGTTAATTAACGGAGCAAAAGTTACAATCTGCACACTAGGTAAAACTAAATACTGCATTTGTAAAAACCAAAGTTCAAATATATTATACCAAGATTTAGCGGCGCTTAAGCTTTGAAAGACTGTGTCGGCTTTGTCAAGATTTAGCGGACTCTTTCTCCGTAATATTTGACTGGTCTGTCGCAAACACTTTACGGTAATCAACCATCATTTTATCTAACTTCCTTTATGGAATGGAATACCATCGGTAGTCCAGACATGCATGCTGAAGTTTACGTGCCTCTAGAAACAAAGGGCGGTTTCTGATCATAAATTAAGAGAACATGTAAGAAGAACCTATGAGTGAAGTTTCTTCTCCCAGGTGACAACCCGCAGTGTAAGTCCGTAAAGCAAGCCAATACGATCGAATATGATTTTTATGTTCAACTTCTAGTCTATACGCCATTTGAATTAATTAAGACGTAAAATTAGTAACACCTAGCTTTCATTTGATGAT